GCGAGGATGATATATAAATCAATCATTTATTTTTAAACATCACAGTGCGTTCCGTTTTAATTGTTGAGTAGAGGACGTTTACTTATTTACCCGAATTGTTGTTAGCCTTACTCTCACACACATATAAGGCGTCTAGAATTTCACGACTAAGTTGAGGGAATCTACAGCCTAAAGCGCACTGAATCTATTTTATCAAACGAAAAGGATTAAATACATTTAAATTCATATAGTAGAAACTTATAAGATTTTGTGATGTAATAGGCTAACACCACGTAGGGAAGGAAAGAAGCAATATTTAAATAAAAAATAAAGGCTTTGGCTTGTTTAACCTAAGGTGGCCCGACTCTCACCTAAAAATAAAATATAAATGTTTCTGTCTTTTAAAGGGCTTTGCGAAAATAAACAGTCAAGGAAAAAAGTCTACATATATCTTTCGATTTCGCGATTTCTAGAAAAGAAAATGCGAAAATGTGACATCAGCAGCCGTAAAACCCTTAAAACTGCCCTTACCAGAGCTTGGGCCGAAATTTCTCCCGGCGTAACTAAAAAATTTGGTGACATCAATGCCCCGCCGTTTACAAGCAGTGATTTAAAAAAATTTTCAAATTATTGTGGTAGTAGTTTGAAGACTTTTTGTAATGATTTTTTGTGTTGTGATTACTTTTGTCTTTGTTATTGCAATGATTTATATATTTGATTGGTACATAAACTTCTTCATAAATGTTTTAAATATTGACATAAATACCTTTTTTGATTTTCTTAACAGATTTGCCAAAATCGAAGGGAATATGTAGTTTTTTGACTGTAAGTTTTTCAAAGACATGTCAAACTATAAAAGTATATAGATGACTACCAAATAGAGACAGTTACTAGAAAAAGCTTCTTGTATACCTCTAAATTTTAGCATGATTCTGTTGCACAAATTAACGAACGTAAGTTAAGCTCTCGATACACTTCGTTTGCGACTGGTACTGTATACTGTATACATATTTATTATTGACAACAATAAAAACGCTTTTTTAAATTTGATATATTTTTATTAGTTTTGTAGTTTATTTAGTCATCAATCAGCACATTTCGTATAAATTAGCAATGCCTATCAGCTATCGATATGAACATGAATACTTTCCAAATATTTTTTATCGTCTCCTGGCCGCATTCTTCTAAACTTTAGGCCCTGGCTTCCCTGAAGAAAGCAATGTGTCTTATCTACTTGGTTCATTATTTACATGTTAAATGCGCAGGAGTCTCAACGCGTACAATCAAACCACGAGCTCTCGTTGTCGGCTCCACCCTCCCCTTACTTGAATGCTTTACAAAAATTATTTGCACCCTTTTCTCGGCACCCCTTTGTTGCCAATCTTCGTATATATTTGTGTGTTTGTCTGCGTATGTCATTGTTGACGTTGGCTTTGTCTTCGGCGCTGTCAACTGTCTACTGACTATTGTCATGCCATAACGTATTGTCGATTTGTATATTTCCGCGTGCGTGCCGTGCATAGCCAACTAGTGCCTCGCATGCATGCGTCCCAACATTAAAAGGTGTCCGTTTGTCTGTCTGCTGGCGCACATGTGGGATCAGTACACTGTGTGTGTGTGAGTGTGCGTGCGTCCTTCGCTGCTTTGCGCTTTTTGCGTTGATCGGCCGCAAGCAGTAAACAGTTGGTCGCGCACCGGCAGCGAGTTGATTTTGTACGTAACGGCTAGTCGGACCTTAGTAAAAACAACCGGAATCGTCGTCAAGGCAGCAGCAGGCAGAGAAATAAGGCCGCACGGCTACACAGCCCAGGACGGAGGGCCGCCCATGCTCACGAGGACAATATGAAGCAATAAATTTCCGGCTGGTGTACGCTTTCAAGTGGTTATCTTTCCTTGTGCGGGCTTTGCTGCCGCTTGCGGTCGCTATTGTTGTTTAGTTTGACGTCTATTATGCGCAGTTATTTGTGTGGCTATGTGTTGTTGTTTTTTTATCATCTGTGCTCGGTTTGAAGCTTCTAAAAAAATTTTTGTTTTTGCGCTTGTCGCTTTGCATATTGCCAATGTCAATTCAATTTGCCCGAAGTGGGCGGAAAACGAGACATTTCGTACTTTAAATGATTGCAAGTGGCTTGACAAACGCGTATGCCTGTATGTGTGTGTGCATGTGTGCGCAGTGGGTGTGGCAGAGGTCAATGTGAATTTGTCATGTTGGACAAGTTAGTTGTCGTGTTGTGGGAGTTGGCGCAACTTCGCCCGTGGAATGTTCACAGCATAGTTGGCGTACGTGTCGTATGAGTAATATATTTTGAGATATGACATGTGTTGAAGTATATCTAACATCTATTTAGTCTGTGCGCTATTTTTTTTTTATCAATGAGGGGACAGAAAGATTATTTTAAACATCATTAAGGAACTACCATTGTATGTGTTTACAGAAGTGGCCATTGATCCTTAGAAAATATAAATAAAGCTTGATTTTATTCCAATTTTTTTAGGTTAGTTTATTTGTTATTGTTTTGTACTTAGTAGTTGCTCTAATCGATATCAGGTCGACATCTGATTCACCCACTGCATTTTTACGCTGAAAGAGATTTGGGTAATTTTCAACTCAAGATTTTGTTATGTACCCGAGTGGCCATATAATTAGAAACTATTTTATTTCTTTCAGTTTCGACCAATTTATATTATTTGGTGGTTTCGATTAATTTTTATAGCAAAATGTAGTTCATGCTACATCGAAAATCATATGATTTGAATATATATATTTATTTTATTTAAAATACATAAGTTCAAAAATTGTCCTAAAAATTCAAATCCTTTTATTGGGGGTTCCGGTACCGTGAATATAAAACACAATTACAATGCTGTAATTTTGAAAGCTGCGTGATAGGTCTCGTGAGCAATTATGCACTTTGGACTTACATTATTGCAGAGACTAAATAGGTGTAATCCAAAAATTACAAGCTTTAATTGAGGCTTGGGTTTTGGTCCCTAACCGTGAACTGATTTTTTAAAATTATATTTAAAACTTAAATTAATATATTTCTGATCAAAATCGGTCAATTCACGTATAGTAATTAGTTATTTAAATGCAAGAGACATTTATTTTTCAGAAACTCACATAATAATGTCAAATATCTTAATTATGTTATATTATATTAAAATAATATAATAAAGGACAGAAAAGTGTGCCCTTTCACTTTCCACTGTCGGCTTCGTGCTTTTAAGATATTTGCCGTTTCTAAACGTTCTTACATTATCACCATGAAAACGATGCCAGAAAAGTAAAATTCAGTATTACAGCACAAAATAAATAAACGAAAAACGAGGCGTGGCACGGACCACCTTGCCGGGAGTCCTATTGTCCGATAAGTCTCTTTTTCTTCAAATCAAAATCAAAACCACACTGTAAGTCGACGAATCTAGTAGAGTTTGTAGAACGTAACTAGAAGACTTCGAACAATCTACGCTTCTTCCAGGGCTGAAGAGGTGGACCATAAACTATCTGAGCGTTGGGCCATAATCCGTACTATTTCGAAGTCAAAATTCTAAGTTAAAAGGCTTCAAATTGGGTGTCGCAGGGGGATGTCGTTTCCTCGATACTGTTTAACTTTTAAATCTCGAAACTCCCGCAACCACCAAAGGGATTTCCCTTCATCTCATATGCAGATGATTGCGACATTGACGTCAACAAATGAAATTGATGACATGTTTTCAAAAGTAAACAGCTATCTCGTCGATATTTCTCATTTTCTCTCTGCAAGGAGCTTAACACCCTCTCCCACAAATCCACGGCAACCATATTCACGAACTGGTCGAAGGAGTAAAGACTGGATCTTAACATCACAGTCGATGGCGTAAAAATTCCTACAGTCAACAACCCTAAGATTTTAGGCGTTACACTTGACAGCCAGTAATCCTTTACTCCGCATACGATCGCGATTGTTGCCAAAGTGCAGATCCGTAACAAAATTCCCAAGTCGCTATTCGGCAGCACCTAAGGAAAATACCAAGAATCTTTTTGGCAACATACAAGGCATTCGTCCGTCATAAACTACGCAGCATAGATATGGTCACCTGGATGTAGGGAAACATAGATGAAGAAACTTCCTACGGATGCCTCTCCAGTCGAACACCTACCTAGTGAGGCCTGAATGCTTCCACTCCTCTCCAAGCAGTTTATGCTGGGATGTTTTCGCAGAAATCATACCTGCAGTCGTCTGCTTGAAGCAGAGTCGCATCCTAGAAGCATCAAGAGGTCATTCCTTGATTACGTCGACGGTGACTAACTTCAGACACGTACGGACCGACTCACTCCCAGTGAATAACGTACTTTAAGTCAAACCACCACGCAATGCACATGAAGAGCTCGAGTTGCTCCGTGAAAATATAGTGATCCTTCGTTCTGGATATTGTAGCAGGTTAAACTCCTACCAATCCAGAATTGACCACATATACCAAATATATGTCCTGCGTGAAATTACTGTAACCCTTTTTGCCTTCCTAATGTATCCCACTTATCTAACACCCCTATCCGTATGGTCCGACCCCGTTGAAACAGCACGTTTCAATATAGTGAAGATATTCGTGGTGTGATTTCAGAGCATAGTTTTAGAATAGTCAAGACCATCTGAAGATACCACAATTTTATGTCAATTTTTCGCTTGACTTCAGCGAGTTGCTAAAGCCCGATATTGTTTCAAAATTCACAAATATAGGATGATTTAGTCAGCGAAGTAACAAAATTAACGTTTGCCCACGCAGCTGAGTTTAGGAAAAGTGGCAAGAATGATTTTAAATTCTAGCGGTATTTAGATTTGATTGAAATGAGATATTAAATTTTCGATAAGTCAGTTAATAAGTTGAGAAAATGTAATATATATCAGAAAATATTTGATGCATAGTGAAACAAAAGTTGTCCTTTACCGACTTTCCCCGACTATTTCCGACTATTACAATACTTAAATAAAACGGGATTTGTTTCTAAATACTTTTTATTAAAACCATTTTAACGTTTTCAGAATCGACGGAAAACGGAGAATCAAGCAACAACAATGTTGCTAGTGCAAAACCAGCAAAGCCAACAACAACAACTACTACTATTAGTAAAACTACAAAAACAAAAACAAAAGCAACAACAAAACCCCACAACACTTCCACACCAATGCAGCAGCAACAACAGCAGCAGTTGCAACAACAACACCAACACCAGCAACAACAGTTGCAATTGCAGACGACGCAAAAGCAACCACAGACGCAACAGTTAACCAACAACATCATATTGCTGCGCGGCGCACGCAACGAAAATGGGCAAATTGTCATACAGAACAAGCATGGCATAATCAGCATATTTAATAATGATCAGCAGCAGCAACAACAATTGCAGTTAGAGCATCAAAAACAACAACAGCAGCAACAGAAAATTGATAAAACAACCGTTGCTGCGACACTGACACAATTGCCTACAGCCACAACAGTTGCACGCAAATCAATACAAACAACAGCAACAACACCCACAACAACCACATTACTTGGTAATACGAAAAGCGCTACTTATGTTGCCAAGGAGACGACGGCGACACCGTCCCAAGGTGGCAGTGGGGCCGGTGGTGGTTCCATTGGCAATGCGACCAACACAATTCTGTTGCAAACGCCAATCAATGCAAGCCAACTGGAATCGGTGCTGCTGCACACGGCCAATTTGAAGAAGACATCCAGCACTTCTACCGCTGCAGATCGCCAGTATCTTTTTAAAACGGTAAGTACCTGTTTTTATACTTGTAGTGGTTAATAATACTAATATAACACTCTGCTGCATTACAGGCGTCGCGCAGCCTCAGCACCGACAGCAATCGCCTGGGTCGCAGCTCAGAGGGCGGCAGCATGGGCAGCGGTAGCTTGAGCAACAACAGCAGCAGCAGTAGCAGTAGCATTGGCAGCAAAGCACCGTTTGTATTGCAAACGCTTAAGCGGCTAGAGAAGTCGCAATCCATACTAGTCATACGTAATCCGTCTGCCTCATCGGTGGCTGCGCTCACAGCCTCTGCTTCCGCTTCATCACTATCGACTGTCTCCTCATCGAGTAATATTGCGCACGCCGCAACGTCCACCAGCTCCGATCGTGCGTCCAACACCGGCACGCTGCTCTCCTCATCTTCCGCTTCCTCTTCCATATCGGGTTCCACGCTTTCACTGTCTTCGGCTCATTTGGTCACGGCGGCGCAGACGGTTAGTGTTAGCACCAATACACAGACGGGCGCCGTGAGTTTCACACGTGCTAGCAAAAGTCAACAGACCACTGGAACGGCTGTGGTGTCATCCACAGCTACAACAACATCCAAATTGGGCAATATCACCGTGAACCGCACCAGCAGCGGTGCAACGTCAGCTGCCGTATTATCAACGAAAACGATCCAGCCAGTTTCTGCTGCCACTACAACTACAACATACTTGCGCTTAGCCAATGCAACAACTGTGTTTGCCAACAACAACGGCGGCAATCACAATAATGCGAGCGTCAACGGGGTGGGCATGAATAAGGTTGTGGTGGTCAGTGGTAGCAAAAGCCATAACGGCAGTGCGGTAAATAGCAACAAGAACATCAGTGCAAGCGGCATGAGAATTGTTGACACACATACTCAACAACAACAGCAAACGCAACTCTGTTTGTCGGATGTGCAGTTGAAGTTAGAGTCGCGCGGTGGCGGGGCGGGAGGCATCGTTGTGTCCCCACCACAGCAGCCACAAGCAACAAACACAACAGTCGTGCACCAACAACAGCTGCAGATACAGCAACACCAACAGGCACAGGCGCAGCAGCAAACACAGTCAGTGTCAAATGCGCCTCGCGGGAGCGGTAAGTCGAATAGCCAATTTCATTTGCTTTACAAGCGAGCACCCAAGTTTTACCTTTTCTTCGTATTTTATTTGATTACAATATTTGTGGCTAGTGATTTTGATAAAAAAATAGGTAACCGAAATTGTAAACAAAAGTACATTTACGAGTACATTTTTTAGCTATTAGAAGTGCTTTGTTGTCTATTTGGAAATTCGGAAGGAAAACTGTCACTTGGGAATTCATCAGTCACACGTATAATGATAGTCTCCTTTACACCGGTCGTATTTTGGATAGGAACTAGGATCATTTTTTTTTGTGAGAGATTTTTTGATATACATTAATAAAACAAAAAAAAAAAACGTTAATTTTGGGTGCACCGAAGCTAGAATACCCTTCACAAATAGAAAATATTCCATATAACAACTTGATTTTGACTGATTTTTGTTGTTGTAGCGGCAGAATTTTGCTGAGTTGACAGTCCTTGTCCGGAAAAAATCCGGGTCTGTTCCGGTTACGTAGATACGACTGTTATGGGAACGGGTTTTGACTGGTCAGTTTGTATGACAGTTATATGCTATAGTAATCTGATTGTGAAATTTTTTTCGAAAACTGTAGCGTTGTCTTGGACAATAATCCGTGCCAAATTGCGTGAAGATATCTTCTCAAATAAAAAAATTCTCCATAGAAGAACTTGGTTCTGATCGTTCAGTTAGTATGGCAGCTATGTGCTATAGTGGTCTGATATCGGCGGTTCTGCTCGTCATGTGTGTCCGATGTTTTCTACTGGGTGGCAAACTTAATGTATCCTGTTCAGGGTATAAATATAATCAAGTGAATTAAGGTGTGATTGCGACCATAACCGAGGCTTTCCTTCGATGACTAGACTGTTGGTATTTATATTTTAGTTTATGCTTTCGCACACAATCCGCGTTCTACGTGCTTAGCTTACGTGAGCATAACTCAATTAATGCGAATAAACCTCTCCTCAGGCGGAGTGGTCTAATCAAAAAGCACAATCATCAGCATTGATTGCGAGATGCTTTTTTTGGTAATTTCATTATTTGCGCTTTAAGTCTGTAAGACCATTTTATCTGTAAGAGCATTTTTGTGATTTCGGCTAGTTTGAGTGGTGTTACCAGGTAATTTTAAAGTCGGTTGATAAGTTGATAAGAAAGTAAATCGAAAAAGGTTTTGAAACGTTTTATCAGACAAAGGATTCTTGGTATTTATAATGGGTTAATGGTATTGTTGTAGTTTTTGTTGGCATTTCACAACATACTGTCTTTATATTGAAACAGTTTCAGTCTCCAAAGCGACTTTTGTGTGAGAAGCTATTTTTGAAATTCTTGTCAAGATAGAACTTGAAAATTGTTATTGGAAATGTTGATATCTTTATACTCCTTTTTTTATTGGAGTGTGGTATCAACAACTTTGTTATTTTGTTATATTATTTCTTATTGATTATTCCATATAAAATATGTAATTAATGGAATCAATAAAGTTTGCGATCCAATAATTTGTGACATATTTTTATACCCTGAACAGGGTATATTAATTTTGCCACGAAGTTTGTAACACCCAGAAGGAAACGTCGGAGACCATATAAAGTATATATATAAATGATCACCGTGACGAGCTGAGTTGATTTAGCCATGTCCGTCTGTCTGTCCGTCTGTACGTCTGTATATACGCGAACTAGTCCCTCAGTTTTTGAGATATCGATCTGAAATTTTGAACACTTCTTTTTCTCCCTGCTCATTTGTCGGAACGGCCGATATCGGACCACTATAGCATATAGCTGCCATACAAACTGAACAATCGGAATCAAGTGTTTGTATGGGAAACTCTTTCATTTGACGAGGTATCTTCACGAAATTTGGCATGTATTATTATTTAAAGCAATAACGCAACCTTCGAAGAAATTGTATGGATCGGATGACTATAGCATATAGCTGCCATATTAACTGAACGATCGGAGTAAAGCGCTTGCATGGAACATTTTTATATTTGACGAGGTATCTGCACGAAAATAGGCACGAGTTATTGCTTAAGGCAACAAATTATTCTCCACAGAAATTGGTCAGATCAGATCACTATATCATATAGCTGCCATACAAATTGAACGTTCAGAATCAAGTTCTTGTAAGGGGCCTTTGTTTTTGTGAAGGGTATTATAGCTTCGGCGCAACCGAAGTTAACGTTTTTTCATGTTTTTTAATTTTTTGTACCGAAAGAAGCAAAGACTCTGAAATCATAACGAATTTTTTTTATACATATGTACATACATATATGAATACAAGTACATGATGGTCCGTCCTGCTTTATGTCTAAGACTATCACATATATGGTAAAATATTCTGAAAGAAACGACCAAACTACCGCAATTAACACATTCACTGACTCCCTCCCAGTGATTGGAGTACTTGAAATCAAACCACCCCCCCATTTCAGACAGAGTGATCAATACATAACTTGGTTCTGGTTATTATATCAGGCTAAACTGCTACCCATCCAGAATCCACTACGACGTACTAAATATCCTGCATACAGTGAGTTCACGCATGCCCAATGAATCCCACTCATTCAACACCTCTCTTTCGAGCCGTTGAAACCGCACGGTTGCTGGGCCTCTCGTTAGATGATTTCGATGACAACTCACTTGAGCGTTTTAATTAGAGTTTAGATAATCGCAACAACAACAACAACAACCAATCCATGACATTCTCCGTTATCAAAATTCCACTTAACTCTTCACTAATAAGATATTTCAATTACGATTGTGCAGGAAACCTTTTAGTTGTTGTTAGTATTCAGGTTTTAACTATGTTTTCAAAAAGATGCACATAAAGGGCTGCTGCTCCCGATGCTTGCTTCATCAAAAATCAAGGGTTAAATGAAGTCCTAGGATGTTTTTATAAGCTTTATTTTATTATTATTATTCTTATTATTCCAAGAACTCTGTTTCACTTATGATGTGTGATGGTTTATAGTTACTTACTACATGCTTGTTCTCCGGAATGGACTGGGGTTTATATAGGGTAAAGTGCTGTGAACTAGACAGCAGTCCTCTAATCTAAGTGATAATTTTTGCTCCCTTCTATTTTACAACAACAACAATAGCTAACCAGATCAATTTATTAAATTGTTTAATCTTGATGAAAACCTAAATTCCTTTTGCAACATATCGGCTTGTCAAGTTTGTGTCTGCTATTTAAAGCAAATTAAGAAGAATTAGTATAACTTTCGAACGTTGCGTTTTATTTGTGCCCCGTACTTTATTTCCTAATTCATTACCTTTCCATCATTCATTGCACTCTTGGCGAATTTGTGCCCATTCACTTCGCTGTAACATGAAAACTTTCGCACAAGTGTTTGCGGCTCATTGATATGCAGTTGGTGGTTTCTTGAAAATTTGCTGAGTTCGCTGTTGTGTATTTACACCTCAGGGAGCAAATTGCACTTGAGTGGCTTGGAAGAAAAAATTTTTTTTCATTTGCCACTTCCGACTTTTGTGAAGTTAAGTTCATTGATTTCTTTTTTCTTTAGTTTTTTCATTATTCACTTGGATGTTGCAAAATAATGGTTGGTGTGTTGAGAAGGGGATTTGTGATGAAAGTTCTTTGAGGATTGGTAATCTAAATTCGACGGTTTAAACATCTGAACCTTATATATCTAATTAATATTTTTATCGATATTTTTGATTATGGTAAACATGTTTTATTAATCTGATGACTTTTGACCTTTACTTACATTGATTTTTCACTTTCTCTGATTTCTAGTTGTAACAGCTGCCTTGGATTCGCCAAGCAGTAGCAAGTGGTGAATCGAACGTATTATACGAGTACTACTGGGAAAACCTGTAGAAAAGTCCTTGTATTTGCTCGACTTGAATACATTTTTTGAAAGGACAGAGTTATTTGTGGACTTCTATCCATGACTCATGGATATGCCCAACGTTTTTTATAAACAAAAAATTTTTAATTGCCGTCTTTTTTTAATATGCAATCAGAAAGTTAAGATTTCAATCGGAATGTTAAAAAACAAATATTTTGATGTGAGAAGTTTCGATTGAAAATGAGGGTGCTTATTCGATATTACATTCATTACATTTTGAAGTTATGTGAAAGAAAGTTCTTTTTATTTCTTTTTAAATTTAACTTTTTCCATAAGATTTGTAGTTTTGTCGAAATCAAGATGATCGTTCTTAACCTTTCAAAAATCAACTACCTTCCTTTCCCACCCTCTTCCCGAGCTAAGGTTTCCCGAGGTTGCAAATAATTGAAATAACTTCTGACTTAATATTGTTTTATTTGTTTTGTAATCCTGAAAATCTTCATTAGCAATAATTTTGAAATATGTAATCCCAAATATCGCTTTGAAAAATAAAAAAAACATATTTTGGATTAAAAATAAAATTTTATTTTGGTAAAATTAGAAAATTTAAAATTTTATTTTTAATCCTAAAATCAACATCTAACTTAAAACAATCTTGAATTAAAAATCGTATTTTCTATTATTAATACCAAATTCGAAATTAAAAAATAAATTTTTTTTATTCCTAAAATTAGATTTAAAAATTGATAATCAAATGTTTAATTAAAAATTTTTCAATTTAAAACTTCACACCCTAGTCGAAAGTAACCCTTCATACCTCGATTATTTTAAGTATTACAAACAATCATTAAGCGCGTAAGTTGCGAAAGTAAAAATATTAATTAAAGTACAATCCAGCAATTCAGTGCAATCAAAGTATCACATTAAATTATAATACGAACTAGATGTTTAAATACATTTCACCGTTTTTGAAGTGTTTTATTTTTTTCCAATGCCGCAATAAAACTGCTCATTTTTCACTTCTCCACTTAGATTTGAGATTTACTATTCACACTTGAAAATCATGAAAATGTAAATTGTGACTTTTAACACCCTCTAAAATACAATATGTTGATGTCAATCTTTCAGCGCACGGTTGCCTACAACACGCTTGTATCGAGTTTCAAAATGTCCTTTGGCTATTGGGAATTCGCAGCATTTCAAAGGATAATGTGACATGTTTATTTGACTTGCGCATACACAAACACACATTCATTTGTATCCATGCAAAAAGTCGCATAGAATTTCTTATAGTAGCGAGTAGGGAAGCACAATTTTTGGTTCGAACCAAATTTATATTTAGTTTCTTGAAAGATCCTTAGCTGCATTTTTCTTTCTGTACTTATTGATACAGTCCTACAAGTGGAAAGCTCTTCAAGTAGTTCAGTTAAATAAAGGGTGTGGTTTTAAAAGTATAAAATTCGTTAGAAGGAAGAAGACTGCCAAAGTAAACACATTAGTTTGACATTTATTTCGAGTGTATTCTTGATTAAATTACCACGTATTGTACTTAAGTGGAACAATATTTCAAAAATCGTGGAAAATCATTTTCTACACCCTCGTTCTGTGCGGAAAGCTCTCAGTACAACTTAAGTATTCAAAGTTCAAAGGATCTTAAAGAGGCTCTCCAAGCTCTATTTAAAAAAAATGTTACTTTCTCGTGTGGTTACAGCAAATAGCTCTTAATTGGATACCTATGTCATGTGATTTCACTCTGTTAGCTGATCCATGTTGATTAGCTAGCTCGGACTGAGCTGAAAAAACAACGTTCGGCGTGCCATTGGCCAGAAAAGTCCGGCTCCGACTTACTAGAAAAAGAAAGGATAGTCTTCATAAAACGCAATAGTAGTCGTCAGTTCATTAATTTCTTTACCTTTTTTTGGAAATACTGTTTTATATCTTTAAAAATATATAGAAGAGTCCCTACTGGAAACAAATAATCCAAATCTCCTTATAAGTTGATGTGCAAATACCATGTATCTTCAATATCTCTTGTTGTTGGCATTGGTGAATTATTTATTAATTCAAACAACACTTACTCATACGTAGTAACAATATCCTTAAGCAACATGTTGCGTTCGGGTATAAAAATCGTTCACATGTGTTCGCTCGAAATCATTTAGGGGTTTGGTAAGCGCGCATGAAGAGCCAACCCACCTACTAAGCACAACTGACAGCAAGCAGACAACAGACAAAGATGGTTAGTTGTTGTTGTTAGTAGTATTGGTCGTTTCAACGATTTGTCGATTTGGCATTTCCGATTACGCTTAAGTGACAACTTCACTTGCGCTCGAGTGCAGCTGTGGCAGTGAGATTAAATAGGTGGCAGGACACACTAAAGGCGTGTGTCAACAGAGCAGCGGCGAAGGGCAAGATGAAAGTGGCAAGTGGCATCTGGCAAGCAACAGCAGCGCCTACGGGCGTCGACGTTGCGTTGTGCTGATGTCTTCAGAATTTTGGATATGTCACCGCTGTGATAATTCGACAATCTTGAACGTTTTTGCTGACAAGCAATAAGAAATGCTTTTGATAAACGATTGGGAGGACGGAGTGACGACAGTGCCGCAACAAGCGCGCGTGCAGTTGCTACTATGAACCCACGTGATGAGATGCTTTGAAATCACTTAGTAAGTGCCTTCGCCAACTTGAGTATTGCGTCCATAATTCACTGCAAGGCAAGTGGCTCTGTGAAGCGTAGGTGGGTTGGTTGCCGCTGCAATTTTTGGCTTTCGCAAAGTTTGAAGCGATTATTATTACGAGTCGCCTCCTTTTAAGGAGAGCGCCACATAAAGCATGAGAAAAAACTAAAATAAAATAATTAGAGTAAATACTACTTGTTATTGATAAAACAATAACTTTTGTGTAAAATATTTATTGTTTTAATTTTTACACATTTAAAGTTTGGAAACGAATTTTTGCACACACGTGTGTGAGCCACCCATATGATTGTGGTAACCCCTAAGCTGTAGTGTAATATGTACCCTCGTTCGCTTATTCGCGTTTTTAACCTTCGCTGTTGTATCTTTGTTGCAAGCAACGCCTGATATTATGACCATTTCAAATGTTACGTATACGATCCGTGGCCGCAGCTATTTAACCTTTAGCCTCTTTGGCACTCACAACCATTTCTTTATTTTCAATGCTAACGATTGCAACAAACAAGTAAATATAAAACATCCAGTTGTAAAACAACAATAAAAATGCTTTATTTATTTGCGTTTTTGTCTGTAAAATAAATGCACAAATTTTGGCAGTAGATCAGTTGCAACTAGGAGAGATATGCAGGCCAGTACCTGGCGGTGCAATAGCTAAACAATGATCTCCCTAATTCCCGCATTCTCATATTTGTACAAATTCATTCGAATGATGACGAGTAAGAAAAAGTTTTGGAGAAATTAAAATTCGATTAAATAACGCGGTATAAGATTGGCTGGGGAAAGCTTAAGAAGATTGTAATACTTCTGAAATGTTGAATACTCTGGCATAGTTCTTTGGAATTTTTTGTTCCTAAACCTCTGAGCTAATGAAAAATAAGGATATATTAATAGCGCTCAACCTGTGTAAATGTTTATAAATATTCAATCAAGTATTACAAAACCTCATCACCTAGCTTGCAGCCTGGCTCAGATCGTAACGGCTAATGTATTTTATGAATTCTATCGATTATTTGTGGACCACACTAATGGGTGTTTTTTATACATGTGGTTTTCAAGAAGAAATAAAACGCATATAATTTAATGTTATGGTCGGCTCTATTATAAAGATAATTGTTTACCATCATGTTTTACAAAGTATTTCGAGTTGTCTCCAATAAATTCTGTCCTAAGGGCCCAATTTTCGACCACTTTACGGAGCAATAACGCACCGAATATTCTCTTCCAACTCCGAAAAAGTATTCGCTCATTGAAATCCACATGTATAAAACATGCATAACAGAACATTCGGAGAATGGGGTTCTTCAAACTCTTGTTATTGTTGTTACCTTCATTGCTTCCTGTTTTTGGACATATTGTATTTTACGAAAAGTATGAGTAGTTCTTCCTCCCAGCCCCGAACCCTTTCACATTCTTCAGAATCTGCAGTTCTCCTCAAAATTCTTAGGACATATTTTTTGCTGCTACAATAATATATATAACAAAAACATGAGCAGGAAAACAGTACAGTAACAGGAAATATTTAACTTTCACCGAAAAGCCATGCGCTGATCATGTTTTCGTATACATGTTGATAGAGAGCGTAATAACACAATGTAGCTAATATTTCTCACAGGGCCTCCGCCGCGCTGGTTTGTCTAAGTATTCGCCAATGGTATTTTATTGTACAATTTTTCACCGTTACATTTCTAAACTTTTTATATATTTTTTGCGCCCAACTTATTTTATTAGTTGGCAAAGTGCATAATGGCCTCGCGAGGGAGCATTCCACAGCGTTGGCGTTGCACACGGTTTGCAGAACAGCGCTCGGACGCGACCGCCTCACACTCGCATGCGGGCCAGGCCAACTTGGTTTTGATTTTGTGCAGCTTTTGGCGCTTAATTTGCTAACCATTTCGGGTTGAGCATTTAGCACAGTGCGCACAGAGCTAACATTTGGATAGTATTACATTTGTTTTGCTCAACAGTGCATTAACTGCATGCGAGAGGGCACTTTGTTTTGCTCATCATTCGCTTTTGCCGCGCTTTGAGGAGGCTCTGTGCTTTCCAGGTGACAGAAGAGGCAAGGGCTTTGTGAGTTTCGGAAACTTTGGAAGTTTGCATAAATGATTTTTTCCTTTTCCGTTGCTTGCTCACACTGTCTTCTTGCACGTTTTTGGTATCTTCTATGCTTGATGCACTTTTTGGATTTACCGTTGTTTCAAATATGCTCTGTAGTTGCAAATAAAGACAAGTGAATTCTACATTTGCTCATCGTTCGTTTGCCTGTGTGTGACATGTTGTTTGGCAAAGTTTTCGTCATTCCACACTCCACTATCCCCTCAGGGTTTCACAGTTTTTTATTGTGTGTGCTTTCCGCTTGGCCCTTTGTGCTTTGCACTTTGTGTATTTCCGGCGCAGTGAAATGGAACAGTTGGCTCCTGGTACTAGGTTACACTTGTCTACTAATTAGATATCACTCGGCTCAATTTGTAATTTTTCGCCCCTACTAAAGATCTTTGC